ATTCGTTAAGTGCAGAGACTTAGATGGCTGGACACATTGCTAGGATGTCAGATAACGCATACACGAAGAGATTAATATTTTTAAAACCAGAGGGCACAAGAAGCAGAGGACGACCACGATTGAGATGGATTGATGATGTTGAAGAAGACCTACAGATTCTAAGGTTTAGAAGATGGAGGAAAGTTGACAAGAATCGACAGAAGTGGCGAGTTCTTTGTGAGCACGCCAAGATCCACAACGGATTTTTGAGCCACTTATGATGATGATTGTCTCAAGTATAAAAGGTTCAAAGACCTATTCAAGAGACATTTCTTTAAATTTCTTAGTAACAGCACATGATTTTGTCTACTTTTAAGGCTCTCTTATCAGTTTTTAGCATTTAGCAAAACTTTTGTTTTGCATCAGAAGTATAAATAAATCGTTCTTTTTGTTTATAATCAAGTTTATTAACACATCATTAAAATTGAACTAACAATACATAAGAATAAAATAAAAAAATTTATTTTTCTCTTCATTGTTATTGTCGTTCTGTTTTTCCATGTCATCTTTCAATAGTTTACTTTGTTGAAGTTTATTGTAAAGTTAGTGATGACATGGTGGTACGAATTGCAAAAGTGATCTGATATCATTAAGTTTTGCTTGACTTAATTTTCGCCCTTTAGAGTAAAGAATGCTTAAGTTTAAAGAACTTAAAGGTTTACAGGTCGGTCTTTCAATCTCTTATTTAGATTTACTAAATAAAATTGTGTTTCTTTGTTATGTGTGTATTTGAATTCCAGAACTCCTGGAAGTTTAGCCCTCTTTGAAGGCTGAGTCAGAAAAATATGCTGCTTTAGCGACCTGGTCTGCTTTTCGTTTCTCAATATACCAACATGAGATAAGAGTCCAGATCATTATGACTATTATGTTAGCAGAAAATAGTTGAATACAGATGGTGTGTATTTTCTGGACTAGTAAATTTTTGAAGAAAATGCATCTTATGGAATCAATCGAGAAAAGAGAATCAGTACACATGGCAATTGTTTTGCTTTTATTGATAGATTAAAGTCTTTAATGCTTGGAGTATTCATCGTCATTGTGGACACAGCGCAGTCACAGCAGTCTTCATTTTTGAACGCATCGGTGCGGTGTACAAAATTTCATTAAATTGTGTTAAGTTGAGGATGTTTTGGAGGGATTTTCTGAGGATTGAGTTTATGGATTTTGTTTTATTAAATCTGCTTAAATCAGTATTGAATATTGGAAGATGGTGCATATATGGAGCTGCCTTAAGGGGTATAAATAGGAGTAGTATTTGAAAGGTTCATGGAATCTAATAAAGGAGATAATATTTATGGTAATGTGAGTGAGCGATTGGATCCGTTTTCTGGGATAGGTTCTATGGGAATCATTAGATTTATTTTGATATATTTTACTTGGATTTGCTGATATTCTTACAGAGTATGAAAGTAGAAGTTGCTGCCTTCTTAGATGGAGTGGTGGCTCTGAAGATTCAACACAAACATTTTCAGCAGGGCTTGATTTGAAAGCACAATACATAGTCTCAGTCAGAATGTATATTGAATCGTGTTTAGAGACTTTAGTATGGAGCTACTAGATTTTATATAAATAATACTGCCATAGTATAGATTAGAGCTAATTAACGCTCTATACATTTTAAGCAGAGATTATTCATCAACTCCCCAAGAGTAGCCAACAAGAGGTTTAAGTAAATTGATTTTTTGAGCATCGTTTTCTCTAAGTTCTTGAATATAAAAGTTCAGATAAGCTTTTTATTAAAGGCGAGACCAAGTTTTAAATAGTTATCGATTGTAAACGAAGTCCGTTTAGAGTTATATAAGGTACAGTAGGTCCATGCTTTCTGGTAAAGTTAATTAGTTGGGATTTAGAAGCTGAAAACAAATCCACCACCATTTTGTAGCAAAGTAAGTGAAAATTAAAATTGGAATTTATATTAAGACAGAATATTTATTAAATAAAGTTGAATAAAGAGTTGAGCGTCAACTATTTTTAGAATAAAAACGGTAAAATGAAACAAGTGAATGAAAAATTTATAAATGAATAAAATAGAAAGAAATTTAAGTAAAATAATTATTTAAAGAAGAATAACAAACATGTGAACTTTATAACCGTACAAACCCTAAGCAACTTTCGGTTATAAAAACACTACTTCTTGTTCTTAAAATTTGGAAAATACCTTTTGCAAACGATTTCCTAAGTGGAAATCGAACCATTACAATCTGTTGTGGCTTAATCCCATATAAACATATTGTTTAACTTAGGAATGCCACAAGAAAACAGGTTCAGCTATTTTTCAAGTTATAAATTGCACCTTCTATTCGTAAACAAAATAATATTTAATAAACTTGAATATAACAGTTTTACCAACGAATACCATCTATATTGGTTAGGTTTGTAGTGCCTGTTTCATGTGACTCATAAGTATAATAACAATAAATTCTTGCATTAGTAATGCTGCACATAGTAAAATATACATTTATGTGAACTTGACTAAGAATTATGAATCATGCGGTAATTTTTTGTTTAAGAATTATAATTTGCATAATTCCTCATTGCCATTGATCTCAAATTAATTGTCTTAAAACAACAGCTAATGAATTAAGAAAATGTGCGGATAATGCTGTCAAATTTTTACCAATAAAGCCAATATATATTATGATTTATTCAATTTTATTTATTAGGTATGTATATTGGACTTCTAAATTTAAATAATATTATAATAAGTTACTTCTATACTAAATTGATTAAATATATTTACAAAACTACAAACTCTAAACAAAACCACATAAAAAATAAAATCTATTACAATTGGAAGGAGAGTTAGACATCAATGCCATCAAAATTTTAATATTAATAAATAAATAAATTTCTGCAATATTTATTCTAGACATTGTAAAATATATCTTTAAAACAAAGCAAATGAATATCAATCAAGAACTTAAGAATGGGAAGTACAATGAAAGATCTGAGATATCTATGGAAATATATGCCGTTGACCAAGCATTATAAATCATGATGTCACTCTTCGTTTATGAATAGCAATAAAAATGTAAAGATCAATCTAGTATGAATCCTTGTTTATCCAATATTTAGATATGCTTTCAATAGCTGTACCATCAAAATAGAAGACGGAAAGGAACTGTCACATTTGATATATATTGTTGAATACCTTGAATAAACAGAAGGAGGATTCTTGAGGAGGATTCTGAGTCACGTTGCCTTCCTAACTATATATTTACAAGAATTATAATCTTCTTCTTCTTCTTCCTTCTTGTATTTATGCTTTAAAGCCTGTTTCTTTGCAATATTAGCCTCCTAAATTGTTTAGTTATCGCACCATCTTTTTCTTGGTTTGCCAATGCTTCTTCGTTCATTTGGTGACTTATCTCGTGATATTCGTACTATCCTATTTTCGACTTTTTCCTGATATTCGTCCGAGTATTTTCATCTCTGTTGTTTGTAGTAGTCGTCTCGTTTTAGATGTGTCAGGTCTTGTCTTCGCCGTGTATGTTAATATAGGTCCAATTGCGGATTTATGGATTCTTGTTTTTGTGTCTTGTCTTATTATATAAGATATACCAATATCAATTGGTATGTTTCTTTTATACAGTAGGTGTAAGACGTCTTCGACTTGGATGCGACCAAAAGCCTTTGTCAGGTCTCTAGATCATACGTACACATTAGAACAACTGATAGAGAAGAAAATGGCAAAAGGTAGACCGGTCCATCTGGCGTTTGTTGATCTTAAGAAAGCATACGACTCAATACCTAAAGTCAAATTATGGGAAGCAATGAATGATCTCAGAATCCGACAAACACTAATAAAAGCAGTTAAAGCACTGTACAAAGAAAACAAAGTAGCTATTAAATGTGGAAATAAAGCCTACAATTCATTTAAGACAACAAAAGGACTTCTACAAGGCTGTGCTACGTCCCCTACTCTGTTTAAAATATTCTTGGAAAAGACACTCAAACCATGGAGGAGAAAGTGCGAAGGAATGGGCATACCAGTAAGAGACGAATACCTATACACCTTAAGTTTTGCTGACGATCAAGTAGTCATCGCACAAGATGAAGAAGATCTCAGCTTTATGCTCAGAAAACTAGAAGAAGAATATAAAAACAACGGAATGGAAATAAACTTAGAGAAAACCGAAAACCTAACAACAGAAAAGAAGGATATGAGAAACCTAGAGATAGACGAGGAAGACAAGTAAATGGAACAGATAAATTCAAGTATTTAGGAACCATAATATCGAACCAGGAAACAACAGAAGAAGATATAAACAACAGACTAAGAGAAACAAGAAACTGTATAAGACAACTAAATTTAGTGCTGTGGGATCGGAACATTACGATAAAGACAAAAAAGAGAATATATAATACCCTGACAAGAAGTATCCTGACATATGGGTCCGAAAACTGGACAATAAACAAGAGAAATAGAGGCAGAATAAGAACAGTAGAAATGGAGTTCCTGAGGAGAAGCTGTAGACTTACAAAAAGAGACAGAATTATAAACGCAGAAATTAAGCGGAGAATGGGAGTGCAATCAGACATAATCGACTATATAGAGGAGAAAAGACTATCCTGGTACGGCCACGTCAGAAGAGCGGACAGAGGACGCTGGATAAACAAAATCATAGAATGGAGCCCGATCGGAAGAAGAAAGAGAGGAAGACCCCGAAGGTCATTCAGAGACGACATCGACGAGGCTATGGAGAAAAGAACCCTGCGAGATGGAGACTGGAATGACAGGCAAAATTGGAGAAAAACGGTTGAGTGAAGGAAGACAGTGAAAACTGTGGAAATCCTTAGTAGTAGTAGTAAATATTTACCACGCCATTTTGCCTTATTACTATGTCCACAAAGCATAAATATACTGTTATATTTTTTTCTATTTCACTTTATTGGCAACGAATAATATTATCATTTTTTTTTTTCATAGAACTAGATGCTAAAATATTTTTTCTTTTTAGGTAGTAGATGGAAGGTGAAGGATCTGACCTATAAAATTTCAAAATATCCAAGCAAATTAAAACGTGCAGATGTTGACTCAGAAGTACAAAGGGCGTTTGACGTATGGACTACAGTTACTGACTTAACATTTACTCCTAAAAGTGGTCAAGTACATATAGAAATTAGATTTGAATATGGTGAACATGGTGATGGAGATCCTTTCGACGGCCCTGGTGGTACCTTGGCTCATGCCTACTTTCCTGTAAATATGCATTTTTAGATAAATTACGTATTAAAACATATTTAGTATAAAGAAACAGTCAGAGAATATTTGTATATATTTTTTAGGTGTTTGGAGGAGATGCTCACTTTGATGCTTCTGAATCATGGTCTATAAATAGTTACAGAGGTACAAATCTTTTCCAAGTAGCCGCTCACGAATTTGGCCACTCTCTTGGTCTTAGTCACTCAGATGTCAGACAAGCTCTTATGGCTCCCTTCTATAGAGGATACGCTCCAAATTTTGAATTAGACAGTGACGATATTGAAGGAATTCAAGCACTTTATGGTCAGAAAACCAACAAATTTCCCCCAAGATTTGACGACGGCGATCAGGACAGCGACTACGATAATAGCCATAACGTACCTAAGACTAAACCTTCCGGAGGAACAGATCAAACTTTGTGCGACAATCCGAACTTTGACACCATATTTACTTCTGCAGAAGGCTACACCTACGTTTTTAAAGGGGATAAGTACTGGAGATTGACTGATGATAGTATTGCACCTGGATATCCAAAATTCATTTCTGATTACTGGGTAGGATTGCCTGGTAATATAGATGCTGCATTTACATACAAAAATGGAAAGACTTATTTCTTCAAAGGATCTAAATACTGGAGGTAAAGTCTTAAATTTTGCAAGTTCTTTATTTATTGATTGAACTATTAGTCATACAGTCAGTCACATATCCCATAATATAAGGTTAACTTGTAGTTGTGTATGTATTGTTTTTTGTGTGTATGTGTGGATTAAGTATCTGCCTTGTTACTAAGTAAAACCAGCTTCATTGTCTTTACAAATTATTGCTTATTAAATCCGAATGACGTCGGATTGAGTTTTTCTATTACATATTTATTTATCTGCTCATAGTAATAATGCATCAGTAATTGATTTGATATCTCTGTCCCATTTTTACAGTCTATATTAGCGTATATTGCATTTCTAATTAGCTATATTGGATATAAGACTTTTAATAAAAAAAAATAATAAGCACCAAGAACTTTTTATGTCGAAATTATGGCATTAATCTTAATAGGTTATTTTCTTCTTAATGTGCCTCACCCCTAAGGAAATTGGCGATAATCATGGCCCATTTGATTCTATCTGCAGCCGTTCTGAAAAGTTTTATTGACGTTTTCCCACTCCACTGTCTCAGATTCTTCAGCCAGGACGTGCGTCTTCTAAGTCCACTTTTGCCTTCCACCTTCCCTTGTATGACCAGCCGCATCAATTCGTATTTCTCGTTTCGTAGCATGTGACCAAAGTAGCTGATTTTTCTTTTCTTTATAGAATTAAGTATTAAGCTACTAAGTTAATAGAGGAGTTTAAAGATATATTTAAAGAATTTTTAAGGTCTGTAGCTGTGTTTAAAACATTACAATTTAGTATGTCTTTAAATTTACCGGGTTCCTTTGGTATACTGTTTTATTTTGAAGGTTTGTTGGTGAGGGCATTTTGTAATAACGTGTTGCATGTTCACTGTAGGAACATTTGGGTGATAATTTTTCGTTATTAGATATTGGTAAGTTAATGCTGAATGTTTAACTTACAATCATGTGATAATCTCTTATTGTTTTCTGCTTTCTGGTGTTTGTAGTTGACATTATTCCTACGTTTGGATTAATTGTTTGAATTGGTTTGCATTCCACATACCTTGCCATCATTGTAAGCACTACACGTTTATTTAAAGCTGGATATCTGTGAATGCAACTTTGTAATTTCATTTTGTTCATTAGTAATTACTTTTTTTACTCGTTCATCAACGTTTCCTATGATTCTTGTGTGTGGTGGTTTACAGAAAACTGTTTGTTTGTTGATCTTCTTTGTAGGCAGTAAAATCCAGGCTTTATATAAAGACAAATATTTTCTGTTTGGGATATATCAAGTTCTAATTGAAAACTGTATCATATAAAAAAAATTTACAATTTTTAGGTACAAGGGAAAGAAACCCGACGGTGATTACCCAAAAGACATCTCTGTAGGCTTCACAGGAATACCTGATGATGTAGACTCAGCTTTAGTATGGAGTGGTAACGGAAAAATATACTTCTACAAGGGTAGTAAGTTCTGGAGATTTGACCCATCTCAAAAACCTCCCGTAAAGAGTAACTACCCCAAACCCATCTCCAACTGGGACGGAATCCCAAATAACATTGACGCAGCCTTCCAGTGGACCAATGGATATACTTACTTTTACAAAAATAATGCTTATTATAGGTAACTATATAGTATTATTAATTCTGAAATATTTACTTGATTTTTGTATGATGTTAGATATTTACGTATACCTAGCAAAGGACTAACATACGTATATCGCTCACAACCAGTACTTGAAAGATATCTAAAAAATGTAATAGAGTGAAAATCTCTAATGCTTAATTGATACTGACTTTCACTCTCACTTTCAATATATAAAACACAGCAAATTTACAACATAACATTCTCTAGAGAGAGTCCAAGAGTTAGGAGCGCAGGAGACTTTTAACATAGCCAAACATTCCTATATCATCATCGGATTTAAGCCCCCGTATTAGATGTTAGAGCCCCCTCTACCAAGAACAAAAGGCTAAAATCAGAATAAAAAGCGAAACAACTAAAAAAATCGATATCGAGAAGGGAGTAAGACAGGGATGTATCCTATCACCTTTGCTGTTCAATGTTTACTCTGAGAAGATATTTCAGAAAGCTTTGGAAGGCACCTCGGATGGTATAATTATAAACGGGCAATGTATAAATAACTTGCGACATGCTGATGACACTGTCATACTGGCAGATAATGCTGAAGCCCTGCAACGCTTAATGGACCGAGTAACGAGAGCCGAGAATTTGGAATGAAATTGAATACAAAGAAGACAAAAACGATGGTCATCAGCAAGCACCAAAACAGAAGGGTGAAGGTCAATGTCGACGGAACAGTCTGGAAAGAGTAACAAGAACAACGTACCTTGGAAGTAATCTTGATGAAACTTGGGACCACTCACTAGAGATCAGAATACGCCTGGAAAAGGCACGTACAATGTTTTACAAAATGCAAAAAGTTCTATGCAACCGCTAGCTGGGCATCTCATTGAGAACTAGAATACTTAAGTGCTATGTTTTCTCCACCTTGCTCTATGGTGTTGAAGCTTGGACAATGACAGAAGCAACACAAAAAAGAATCCAAGCATTCGAACTCTGGTGTTACCGTAAAATGCTCAGAATATCCTACATGAGCCATACGACAAATGCGGAAGTCTTGCGGAGGATGAATAAGGAAAGAGAGCTTATGCTTGTAATAAAAGAACGGAAAACACAATATTTTGGTCACATCATAAGAAATCAAAAGTATGAACTGCTTCAACTTATAATCGAAGGCAAAGTCAATAGCAAAAGAGGACCAGGAAGAAGACGCAACTCCTGGCTTAAAAACCTACGGCAATGGACGAACATGACCTCCATAGAACTATTCAGGGCTGCTACAAATAAGATTAAATGGGCAAATGTAATGGCCAACGTCTTTAAGGATAAGGCACCGTAAGAAGATTAGATGTTTTACATAAAAAATAAACATGTGAAAAAATGAAAGACACTTGAAAGTGTATTAGTTTTTAATCTAATTGCATATAGAATATGGTTACGAGCAAAGCTCGAAATTGGACGATCCTAGCTTTGTACGGAAATTATTTTCCACTTCTAGCATTGTACCCCCAGTACAATGTCTGAAATGATCAAAACTAAAAATGATTCGAATCGATTATTATTGACAAGCGACACATTTCAAACATCGAACATTTTTAATTTTTATATTTTCAATAGAGTGATAATGATACATTTCAAAGCTTCAAAAGATAGATACATCACTATAATACAGGCAAGATGTTTGTGAAACATTTAAGATTTTCAAGAGATATGTATGATAATTTAAAATACCTTAATCCCACAATCCAGAAGTCAGAAGCCCTAATTAATTAGGAATTTGTAACCTGATTGATGATTTTTGTCTTTAATAACAAATGAAGGATAATAATGAAAATCGATATCTTTCATATTCTCCCAGTCCTATATATATAAAATTCATAAACATAAACCTCCCAACCGGTAAAAATACAGCTTATTTAGTATTCAATACAGCATTTGAAATAGATAAGTATTCCATTTAAAACAGAAATCACTACTGTCTTTGCATAACTCTGACCGATTAGCATTTTCTAGGTTTAACGACAGAGCCTTCGCAGTAGACGTGACGACGCCAGCGTTTCCAAGGTCGACAGCATACTGGTGGTTCGGTTGTAAGGACGCACCAGCTGGTACCATCGGATCTAGTGAGTCAATGAGAGGAACACTAATTGGTGAAGAGAGCTCATATCCAAAATTTTTCGATACTTCGAATGATAATGATACAGGTACATCTTTATGAAATATTAAGCCTTGCCTTATGTATTGTAAGGTAGTTTTTTAATGGATCTACGGTTTTTAGGCATGTCGGTAGAATGTTTTCGTAAGCTATAAACTGATTTGTTGTTATTCGTCAATTTTGATAATGATAAAGACTATGAAAAAAACCGTGTAAATCGTGTGATCATCACAAGAAAAAGTGTTCCAAAGAGAATCATCCTCATTTGAATTAGTTTTTGATACTAATTTTTAAATTACCTTTCAATTATTTAGTTTAATTACCATTAAAGTATTTTTTTAAAATTTTATCAGTATATATTTGTTTCAGAAGTTTCATTTCTGAGCTATTTAACTATCCTAAGAAGTAGCCTTGATCAACCAAATAAACTATTTAATTATAAAATATATTAAATAGTATATTTAGTAAAATCTACTGATGTTATTAAAAATATGCAGTCAATATTTTATTTTGAATAGTTTGTATTTGCATTGATAATCATATAGGCCAAATTTTTTAACACGTATTCACACACTCATATTATATAAATCGTAACATAACATTTAATGGAATTATACCTAATTTATAGCTATTAGAAAAACGCAGCTATTTAAATGATTTTTTAATACAATACAAGAATGACTTTGCTTAAAAGATATAAAGTAAAAATTGTAGGAAATAATTTTAATTGATTTAAACAATTTATTCACTACGGTTATTATGCACAACTCATGGAAGATAAAGTACATCATTAAGGCATATATTTAAAACAATAATAGCTTTATTCATACAAGTTTGGACAATATTCAGTAAGACATAAGAATTTTAATTTAAGATCAGCAGACAAACATTCGATACTTCTTCGAGTGGTTGACTTATTTTGACTGGAAATATCAATTAAGTAGAACTGTTCTATTTTAGTGGTAATGTAGACATCCCACGTCATGTTTTAGTTGACTAAGACTAGTAAATGCGTGTGGCCTTTTCCATTTAGTCAAGGTGTATCAGTAGCGAAAACATATAATTCAGCCTGTGTTTTGGTATACTCAGTTTACTGATTCCAGTCAAAACTGTATAGTAAATTAAGTAATCATTTTTTGCGCACGTTGGTTAAATTTCGACTGACTTTAAGTGGCACTATACCAACATAAACAGTGCTAGTAGCCAATATTAATTGTAATTTAAAAACAAAAAAGTATCCACGTGCTGTTGATTAACAAAATAAAGCTGCATTAATTCAAACAAAGGTTCTAATGTTTATTTTCGAAATTTGATAGCCGTTTAGAGATTATTATTTTAAAATATCTTCGGCTTTGCACCATTTGTTCTACTACCAATAGTTCCATAGTTTCCCTTCTTCTGGCTGTGTGATAAAAGTAATCTAGGTATTCTCGGTTTACTTTTTTGAATAGCTTTAAATTTGGTTTTTTTGATGTTAAGAGAAAGTCCGTATTCTCCACTATATCTTAATATTTTGATCATTATTCTTTCTAAGTCTTCCAAGTTGTCGGCTATTATGACTGTATCGTCGGCATACCTAATGTAGTTAATTAAACTTCCGTTCACTTTTCTGCCGACTGTCTCGTTTACCAAAGCTTCTTGTATGATTTCTTCAGAATAAGCATTATTATATTGCGTATATTACATAGCATACTACTTCTATCGATTTTTTGAGAGTTGATCGATGTTTCAGCTGCGTATGTTGCTACAGTGCTACATAGGGAAAATAAGGGCATTGTCAACCTGAGCACGGTATTTCTTGTTATTACTGGGTCTTTCTATATTTCAATTAATTTATTTGGGCCATTGCTAGTCTACGGCCGCTTGGTATGGATAAGCATTTGGACTTTATTTGCTCTAGCATAGGTGTATCATTTGCATATTGCAGGATACTGATTTTTCTACTTACTTAGCGATTCCTTCATCTCATTCGTCTAGTATTTTCCTTAATATATATTCAGAATAGTTGTATAATAATGGAGATAGTGGTGCATTCTGTTTCCTCGATTTTTCTATTACCTCTCTAGTGTTTTATATCTTATTAGGCATTCCTTTTCGTGGTACGAATCAGCATTGTTCTTCAGCTATCTCTGGAAGTAGAAATATATATTAATTACATGTAGCAGGATTTTGCTTGCATGTGGAATAAGGGCAATGGTTCTGTAATTTTTGCATCCGGTTGGTGATCCTTTTTATGGATAGGGATAACGGTTTATTCGCACCATTCGTCAAGCCATTTACATGTGATCCATATCACGTTGCACATATCCAGTGTTACAGCTATGCCAATCTCGCCCATTGGTTTTAGAGATCCGCTTGCATGAAATCTATCCCTGGAGTCTTTTGTTTCTTTGTTGGTTGAGACCTTTCTCTACTTCTACTCATAAAATGATAAATTACTCGATCATATTGAGTTGGTTTGTCTTTTATTTTCAAATTTACCAATTCTTGGATGTTTTTTAAGTGTCTCCAATAATACAGACTAATAATGAAAGCTTAAGATCATAAGGGATACTTTCGTTACAGTCAATCAGTGGATATTTTCACTATGAATAGTTTTTTATATCCATTATAAACATCGACTGTGGCAAAATACCTTTCTTTATTTTTAAATTTCCATTTATCCTATACAACTTGAATCTACTTTGGTGCAACATGCATGTTTGAACTTATCTGATCCTCTTAAATTGTGGTTTTGACAATTCTTTCAATTTAGTTGTTTACTCTGTTTTTTTTTTGAATGTGTCAGCTCTAATGTGCAGGTCCTGATGTAATATTAGAAGATCGTTTAATGTGTTTATTACTTATGATTTTTACAATATATTAAAAAAAAAATTAGCAGCTGGAATAATATATCCATGTCTAAATGTAATCTTTTATCTTTATTTAAAAAAATATTATGCCGTTTATAATCTTTTATCAATAATAAATTCATAAACTTTGTTATGTTGCGTCACTACTCGTTTTTATTTTTGGGATACTAGTGTTAAAAACTTAATTGGTTTGAAAAACATCACATTTGGTTATAAAGTAGCAATTATATGATTGTCTTACTGATTTTGTCCAACGGCATTTAAAACATTCAAATAATATACCGTCATAACATTATTTACTATAAGAGAAATCTAACAACGGATTTATAATTTAAATACATGAAGGTAAAGTAGGGTTTAAAAAGGTGATGTAAATTGAGGGAATCGACGACCGCAAGCTCTCTTCATCAAGTACGTATACCATCCATATTACCCTCTATAATACGCTTTTAGTGCATGTGATGCTTTTTAGCTTTTGTATTTAGTATTAGAGCTTGGCTATGTAAAAATATTCACCAATATCAAATAACGTACCACTGATTGTTTAGTTCACTCATGTTTTTTGTATACTTATTACTGGCTTTGACTTTTCTTTGTGTTGCTTTTGTTTATATCTATATTCGTACTTAACATCATAATTATTGTAATGAAGTTAATAACATAATCTCTATTGCTAACAACAATGTAATTTAAAAGTAGAACGTATTGTCTACAACAGAAAAAATTCACTTTTTTTTATCGATCTCTGCTCATAAACTTACAAAGAATTAAAGCTATATTGGATCGAAATAAAAAAGTAGAAATCTTATAGTTTTGTTACTTTTGCACGGCCTTTTCCTACACAAAATATTTTCGAGTATTTTATATGGTCGCCTGAGTACATATTCAGAGGAGCATCTTAGCGAATATTAAAGTGGTTTTAGGCCTAGTCGATTAACAATAGATCAGATCCTTGTGCTAAGGCAAACACTGGAAAAGAACAATGAATTCAATGTCGACACATACCCTTTTTTCGTAGATTTTAAATCGGCCCAGGATAGGATCCTAAGAAATAAATTGTAAGACGCAATGGATAAATTCCACATCCCCGATAAACTGATAAGATTGGTTAAGGCTACAATGCGTAAAGTTGTTTGCAAAGTCGAAGTACAGGGCGAACAATCACAGGCATTTAAATCGCATGTTGGGCTGAGACAGGGAGATGCGCTGGCGTGTCTTCTTTTCAACATAAATCTGGAAAAGGCGGTCAGGTATGCCCAAATATACAACAGAAGAAACATTTTTATAAATCATCCCAAATTTTGGCATATGCAGGTAATGTTGACCTAGTTGCCCGCACAATACGCAAACTAGAAGAAATATATACAGTGAACAATTATGTAGAGGAAAATTAACAAACTAAACAAGAAAACTAGAAAATACATATTTACTTCTATGTTATGATTAAACGGATGTAAATATCTGCGTGAAAAACACGTTTACAATTATGTCAATGAAAATGGTTAAAAAACAATATTAAGTATATCTATATTGGGCCAATAAATATTTCGATAATTAAACGTCTGAAGAAATTATTATTGTCCAAACCAAAAATGTTTTAAAAAAATAAATCATGAAAATCATACATACTGAATAATAACTGAGTATATCCAAGATCCAAAATCAAAAAGTTATAACATTAAAAAATATGTTTGGTACTAACATGAAAGTATTGGTGAATTTTTTTTATTACAAGCACGTTTCACTATAAAAAAAATGCTCTCAGAGATATGTTTTAATTAAGCAATTATATAATTATACGTTTATCAAACATTTAATATATTTAAAAGCGAATTAAACGATGGTTTGCTTCGAAATTTGCTAAAAAATATTTAAAAAATCTGTATTGTCATTAATTATTATTACTAGTTGTTTTGTTTACTATAAAATAAGTTTTGTTGTTCGATAAAAAACACGTTTTATAGTTGAAAATATATTACATTATTTGAAAGAATCTACCATCTTCACTACACTTGTTGCAGTAATCTTGCAATATCAAAAACCATCTCTGAAATTATAATTAAGAAAACTCTCAAAATATGATATTGCAGCTACTACTAACACGTCAAAAAAAAACGACTCTAAATAGTTTAAAATGTGACTCTCACTTTCTTCTTCCTTAGCCTGCTTTTCTCTTTTTAGGGATCGCTATTCCTTA